GCCCTCCCCCTCCCCCTCCCCCTCCCCCCACCTCTGGGTTGAGGATGACCTCCAGCAGCGCGTCCAGCACCATGTGGTCCGGCACCAGCTCGCCGCGGTCGATGATGTGCTGCAGGGGGGCATCCAGAAGCACGCACGTGTGAAGACGGGCCCGGAGTAGCTGAAGCCTCAGTGGCCCCGACAGCTGCGCAGGCCCGCGGGCCTGGGGCCCGCCCGCCAGCGCCGCCTCCCCTCCCCGCACACCTTGATCTCCGGGCTCGTGTCCAGCAGCTGGCTCATGCCGATGGCGCGGCTCAGGCCGCGGCTCTTCATGATGAAAGGCATGCTGCGGGCCGGCGGCAGCGGTGAGGCCCGCGCCCCGGCTGGCTCTTGGGCAGGCCAGGCCAGGCGAGGCCAGGCGAGGCAACACGCGCTGCTGCGGGCTGGGGCGAGGCCGTAGCACGCATGCATGCATATACACGCAGCGCGGCGCCGCTGAAATGCAAACATTGCTGCAGCCGTGACGGTTGCTCACTTTGTGCCTTTGCCTGAGCCGGGGGCGCCATTGAGCCACACCACCTCGCGCGGGCACACAAGCCGCTGCACGGCAGGTTCAAGGAAGGGGCCACCGTTCAAGCTGCAAGCCGCTTGCACAGCGGCCTGTTCCCAATGCATGCGGCTCGGCCCCGCCAGCCTGCTCCTCCTTCCGCTGCCCGTCTGCCGCCTATAGCCCTGTCCTCCTTGCACCGCCGCCTGCCTTCATTGAAACCCCGCGCCCGTTCAAACTTCCCCCATTCATTTGTACCGCACCTCCTTGTACTTCTCCTCGATCTTCTTCCAGCTGGACTCGAAGATGACCTGCGCCTTGAGGCTCAGCCGCTCCTTGCTGACGTTGAGCGGCCGGACCGCGCCGGGCGGTCGCACCGCAAACGGCGCCGCCGCCGAGGGCTCCGCTGCCGCCAGCGTCTGCGCCGCGGCGGTGGCCGTCTGCAGGGAGCGGCAGCAACAGGCGCGGCTGTCTGTTGGTGCCTGGACGAGTTGCCGTGCTGCAGCCTTTAAAGCGCCGGCGGGGCAGGGCGCTGGAACACGCGGCGTCACCGCTCCTCCCTTCTGCCACCCTACCTGCGCCCAGCGGCTTCCGTGAGCTCTCAGCCCTCTCTGCTGCTGGCTGGCCCTTCGTAGCGCCGAGCCTCTGGCAGCTGCAACTGGCCACTCAGCACACAAGGCGGCGCAAGTGCTGCTGCTGCATGCGGCCGAGGCCAGCTGCCTGGTGCCAGCCGCCAGTTGTCTGAGCCTGGCCAGGAGGGCTGTCGCTTCTATGGAGAGTCTCATGGCTGCCCGCACTAGGGCTAGGGACCCCTGCGCGGCGCCTCTGGTCCCTCAATGAGCCGCTCCTGGCGCGTTTAGTAACGCGTACTGCAGGCCTGGAGTTGCCACTAGTCAACTCCTCGCAACACGTTCGAAGCAGGGAGGCGTCAGGAGCAGCCTACACCAGGACGGAAGGCGAGAGTTTAAAGCTATTGAGTCCCTGGGTGTTCTACAATGCGCGTTGTGCTAGCCACTGTGTCTGTGTCCTGCCTGTACCTGCACTCATGGCGTCAACAGCGCCATTGCCCCCGTGGCGCAGAATTTTCTCGATCGATTCGCACTTCACGCATGCAGCCGATACCAGCGCCCCCTCTGCACGCCGCATGCCAACACATTGGCACCTCAGGCCTGAGTCTGTAGCGCTCGCCTGTGTGCCTTTTGCCAAGAGCTGAGGACAGGCAACAAGTCACATTGATCGTTGCATGAGCCCCTGCAGCAGGCAGCAGGCAGCAGCACAGGCGGCGGCAGACAGCGGAGCGGGCGGCGCTGGCCAGGTGCTGGCGTACAGCGCTTGCCTGAGCCGGCCAGGGTGGGCTGGGCCCTATGGCGCCCAAGGCCAAGGCGCACAGCGCGGCGCAGGCGGCCTCCAAGAAGAAGAGCAGCGCTGTGGAGATAGCGCACCACCACGAGCAGCGCATCCGTGACGCTCTCAAGGTGCGGGTGCAGCCGCCGCCTGCCTGACAGCTGCTTCAGAGCAGCCTGCATGAAGAGTGAACCCCGCACGCCGTTGTCGGTCGGTAGCTAGCCGTCCCCACCTATCTGTTTTTTGTGCAGGGCCTGGACCTTCCCTGGCAGGATGTCGCCGCCCTGCCGGCCGCCGGCGCCGCAGCGGCGCCCTCGCCTGCAGCCGGCCTGGCAGGCGGCCAAGGGGCTGCGCCGCCGGGCGCCCTGCCCAGCGCCGAGCACCTGCTGGCGGTGTATGCCTCCCTGCAGCAGCAGCACGGCTTCCAGGCACAGCAGGTGGAGGCTGCGCTGTCGGCGCTGCCGCTGGCGGCGGTCGGCGTGGAGGCAGCGCTCGACTGGCTGCTGCTGCACCTGGAAGCTGCACAGCTGCCCAGGCGGTACTCGTCCCAGGCCCGGACCGGCGGCGGCGGCAGCGTGGATGTGAAGCACAAGGCGCGAGATCCCACCCCAGCCGAGGCGCAGGCGCAGGCGCAGGCAGCAGCGCAGGCAGCTGCCGCGGCAGCGGCGGCGGCGCAGGCGGAGCTGGAGCTGCGGCGGCGGGAGGACGCGCAGAGGGCGGCGGAGCTGGAGCGTGCGGCGGCGGAGCAGCGTGCGGCTGAGGAGCAGCAGAGGCGGTCCTGGATCATGCAGTACATGGAGGTACGCAGGAGGTACTAGGGGTTGTGATGGTGGGCCTCCTGGGCTGCGCTAGCTAGAGGGAGGGCTGCTGGGCCGCGCCTGCTGCTCTGTTGTTGAACCGAAGCTGCTGGCATGAGAGAAGGCGGCTTTCGCAGCCTGGCATTGGGCAATTAATGCGGCGCGCGCCGGGCTGCAGGACGACAGCTGCTCCGAGGCGGGCAGCAGCGAGGTGGCGGCCGAGGTGCGCTGCGCCTGCCGCCTGCTCCTCGCCCCACGCTCGCATGGCCGCGTTGCCCCACGCTCGTATGGCCGCGTTGCTGCCAGATGCTCAGCCCTGCCAAGTGCGCACCTTGCCTCTGCCCACCCCTCCTTGGCCTGCCTCCCTTTCTTTCTCCTCCTGCTGCCTGGCTGCCCCGAGCGCAGTCTGACGCCTCTTCAATAGAAGACTGGGAGGTGTGGGGCGACCCTCGGGAGGTGGAGCGGCGCAGGGCGGAGCGGACACGGGAGCGGCTGCCTCGCCAGGAGCGCCTGGCGCTGATCGCGGCCGAGATGGCGCAGGTGCGCGCGCGTCCCCGCTGCTGCAGCGCCATGCCACGCCAGGCTGGCACAGGCCCGCCCCGCTGCACCGCTCTTGCTTCTTCAGGCTGAGGGATGCAAGGGGAGGTTCCTGGCAGAGCATCGGATGGAGCCGACCCTTGGCGTGTTGCCCGCCTGCTCCCTGCCTGCTACCTGCAGACCAAGTGCGAGGCGGCAGCGGCCAAGGCAGGCGGCAACAAGGACAAGCAGAAGGCGTGCGGGCAGCTCATCGGGCAGCTGCGCCAGGAGATGCAGAAGCTGGGCGTCAGCGACGCTGAGCTGGTGGCGGCCATGCCGCCACAGCCGGCAGCGGGGCCGCCGCCCGCAGCGGATGGCGGCGATGGCGGCAGCCAGGAGCAGGCTGCAGAGGAGCTGGAGGCGGTTGAGGCAGAGGAGCGGCAGGCGGCTGCTGCGAGTGCCGATGCTGAGCAACCCAGCGCTGGGGGTGCCGATTCCGGCGGCGGCGACAGGGAAGGAGCGGCGGGAGGCGCCGCGGCGCCCGCAGCGGTGAGCGACCAGGATGATGAGGATGATGGGGCAGGGCTGGGCTTCGATCTGTTTGGGGATGGCTCCTCCCTGGAGGTGGCTGAGGTGGTCAAGGCCAAGAAGAGTCGTGCCGAGCTGGTAGCAGCGGCGACAGCGGCAGCGGCAGCGCAGGCACGGGGTGGCAAGAAGAAGGGCAAGGCCGGCAGCGGCAGGCCGGCTGCGCCGCAGCCGGAGCAGCAGCAGCCCAAGGCGCTGCTGCAGCAGCACTGCCAGCGGTGCGGCTGGGGCGCGCCACGCTTCGAGCGGCTGCAGCACGGGGGCATGCGCCTGCCGGGCGGCGGCTACCGATACTCAGTCAGCGTGGATGCTGGCGGCAGCAAGGGCCCCAAGCGCCGCCAGCAGCAGCAGCAGCAGCAGCAGGGCCCCCGCACCTTCAGCCTGCGGGAGGCAGACGATGGGTGGGAGAGGATAGAGGACGCCCAGAACGCCGCCGCCACCCGTGCGCTGTTTGAGCTGACAGCCGCAGAGGAGCCGGCGCCCCCTGCTCCGCCGCTGTGGGCGCTGCTGCCGCCGGCGTTCCAGGAGCTGTGGCTGGCTTGGCAGGAGGAGGGGGAAGACAGCGAGGCGGCCGCGGCAGCGGCAGCGGAGACCGAGGAGGCGGCAGCGGCCAGGGAGGCCTTTGTGTGGCAGCTGCTGAGCCGGGGAGAGGCGCAGCAGGCCGCCGCGGCGGCTGCGCAGCAGCAGCAGCAGGAGGAAGGTGCCGAGAGCAGCGGGGGTTGGCGGGAGCAGCTGCTGAGGTCGATCGCGGCCAAGGCCGGCAGCGAGGAGCAGCAGCGGCAGCAGTCGGCGGCGCAGCGCCGCGACAGCGAGCGGCTGCTGCAGGAGCAGCGGGCGTGGCGGGAGTCGGAGGAGGGGCGGCGCTGGCTGGCAGACAGGGCCAAGTGAGCGGAGCGGTGCCTGCCTGAGGACAGAACCGCTGCTGCAGCGGTGGCCGTGGTGGTGGTGGTGTGGTGGCGGTGGTTGGCACCCTCTACAAAACTGTCACCCCCGCCCAGTTCATGGCAGCGTGCCACCAATATCCCCCACCCACCACCCACCACCCACCAACCCTGCAGGCTGCCTGTGACCGAGACCCGCGCGGCGCTGGTGGCGGCGCTGGCTGAGCACGACGTGGCGGTGGTCAGCGGCGAGACGGGCAGCGGCAAGACCACGCAGGCGCGGCGTCCTGTTTTTGTGGCTTGTGGCCAGCTGGCGTGCGTCAAAGCCTGCGCCTCACCACACCGCCCTCTCGAGCACGGCCAAGGCTCAGGCCCAGCCACGGTTGTCTCCTAAAGCACTGCTGCATTCCTGTACCGCCATAAT